ACGTCTCCTTTCACCCACGCTCCAGAGTTTTCAATGACGATCTTTTAGAAGTGGGTTGACAAGTGTTTCTTCCAAGATATCTCTAGATGGACTCAATTTCCAACCTTTTAGTAGTTGTTAGCTGATTGAACCACTTCTAAAGTTGGATTAAGGAAACAGAGTCCCAGATTTACAATGTATTTTATTTACAAACTACATTTAGGATTATACACGTATTGTCTCCCCTCGCCCCCTCCATCTTATTGCTAGCACATCTTCCTGGAAGAAAATTACAGGAAAGTGCAAGCAACGGATATGGAAGAAGTTGCTCAGTTATGCGAACAGACTCCAAATCTGTGATCAGGATAATATGTGGTAACAAGACGGGTGGGGAAATTGTCCGTATGGCAAGAGTGTTTGATTTAGAACTTGATATTGGTTGGTGTAGGAAAGCACATAGATCAGGTAGAAGGGGAATTGAGAGATGCATCACTTCTTCAAAATCTTAATAGAAATAATGGGGATGAAGAAGGAAGTTGTCAAAGTTTTCATAAAGGCTTAAAGAAACACAAAGTCAAACCCATTACAGTTTAGCTGATTCTGACTGATAGCAACCTTATAGGACAGAGTAGGCTCTGTTTCTATCCCAAGGCTCTGTTTCCAAGGCTATAAATCTTTTCAGAAATAGCCACTATTTTCTTCTGCAGAGCCACTGGTGAGTTTGAACCATTAACCTTTCAGTTAGAAGGCAATACTTGGACCACTTGAGAAGTGACTGCAGCTGCTGCAGGGAGAGCCATGGGTCAGGTGGCCCAGGTTTGATAGCTCTTCCAAACATTGCACAGGACCAAACAACAAGTTTTTAAAAATTATGTCAGAGTACTAGAAGCCATAAAAAATATAATTGAAGAATACAAAAATAATAAAAGTGAGACATCTCCTAAGAAAATAGAAGAGAATTGGTTCCTAGGAAAGACCTTCTTACAGAAAATGTGCCCTGCATCAAAGAACAAAATATCATATCATTGTGAAGGAGGGGAGTGCAGGTTGGGGACACAAAGCCCATCTGTAGGCAACTGTACATAGCCTTATAGAAGGGTTGCGGGGAGGAGACAGGCCAGTCAGGGTGTAACGTGTAGCAACGATGAAACATACAACTTTCCTCTAGTTCTTTCTTTATTTATTTTTCTTTTTTTAACATTTTATTTTATTTTATTTTTATTTATTTATTTTTAACATTTTATTAGGGGCTCA